TTATTATTATTATTATTATTATTATTATTATTATTATTATTATTATTATTATTATTATTATTATTATTATTATTATTATTATTATTATTATTATTATTATTATTATTATTATTATTATTATTATTATTATTATTATTATTATTATTATTATTATTATTATTATTATTATTATTATTATTATTATTATTATTATTATTATTATTATTATTATTTATTGCTTATTATTTATTATTATTACTATTATTGTTACTTATTATTGTTACTACTATTATTACTTATTATTATCGTTATTACCACTCCACTGTTTCCACTAAAACCGTTGAGTTTCTTGGAAGACATTGACAAATGGTCATGTTCTTTCTGGTTGATTGATCATTAATCCTTTTTATATTGACGATTTTTCTCTTTTTTTTCATTCTCTAGGTTGATAGATATTACTGCAGAATATGGAGAAAGATTTTAGCATGATAAATAATAAACTTATAAATGTTACGAATATTTCAAAATGTGAGATGTTATTGACTTCGATAGTACAAGTGTGAACCGAGTAATGTTTTATTTGACATATAATTTTGAAGTTGCTTTTTTTTGTCTCTGAGCGTCATCGAAATATAGCACAAAATGATTCGGACTTGCACTGCTCTATATTCAAGTTGTTATGAGATTCTTGTTCTATTCTCTTATTGCTACATTTCTTAGTTAACTGCTAATCAATACTTGCTTTTTATAGTTTTATGCTTATTAGTAGAATGAAACCATTTCTTTATCACAATATAACATTTCCATTTCATCACCGATTTTAAGTCCGCGTGCAGATTCAATTTTACATGCAAACAGCACAACATGCAATGTCGCAATAGCAATGAGAGTTATCATAATTAGCCAAATTTGTTAATGGATCTAGTTCTTCTATATGTAAGAGCTGTTAATCACATTCTTCTATAATTTATAATGTTAATCACATCCTTCTATAATGTATAATAATTTAGTCTATTTCGGTCGTGGAAAATGCAAAGGAAGAAATGTTGAATAAAATAAGCTGAAATGGAAAAATTAAGTGTTTTCAGAAAAAAAATTATTAAAAAAAAATTTCTATTCAAACAAATTAAAAAATTTCTATTCAAACAAAAAGAATGCTTTGGGATTTCAATTTTGAACTTCTAGAATTAAGAGCGACTTTTTTGTCATTTTTGAAATTTTGACCAAGATCAGGCGATCCTTACTCATTTCTGGGACAGACCTTAAGAATGAATCAAGGGAGATGGCCTAAGACAAACAGGAATTGCAACCATCAATTCGGATATAAATACGTAAAAACATTCAAAATGATTTGCATCCAAAACGAAATAATGATTAATCAAAAGTTTTTGCATGGTTGAGAAGCAAATAAAGGTTGAAATTAATCCGGACATTCCAGCAGTTAGCAGTGTAGGAAGATGGTGTTTGATTGTCAGTTTATGGAGTCAATATATTTCTCAATGATACAAATAAATATGGCGATAATAAATAGATGAATGGTTTAAGGAAGAAGGGTTAGTAATATCAGTGATGCATTAACAATTCCTACACATTCGTCCATTTTCGTCATTCTTATAATGTGATGGTAATATGTATTCATACATATACTAGCTATTTCTTCCACTCTATAGTGAAACTGATGTTTGGAATATATACTATGGTTTCATATGTCCACATATAGCCTCGGAATTATTGAACTAACATCATTATTTCGTTCATAACTTCGAACTTATTGACAGTTTGGTAGTTAATAAATGAGTTTTTGATCTTCTCTTCCTCTAAAACACTTCATTTATAAGCATACCTTCTGTTATGAGATACATGTCATTAGACTTGTGCAAGTTACCAGTAAACAAATCCGATCCAAGCGGTGTTTATGAATTGAAAAAATCAATATAATGGAATTATTACTACAGAATATGAGAAGTTCATTCTGTTCCGTTCACTTAATTTTCAAATTCTAAACTTAATTTTTCCATGCCATTTACATTTGGGTCAGTAACTTAACATAGTATGTTTCTGCTCTTTCAAACTACCTTATTGTTATCTGTGGTTAAGAAAGTGCTATTTGACAAGTACTGACTGATGAAAAAAGGAGATAGAGGGATAAGAGAATGGACATTTGTGTTGCTGACAGAGACAAATTTTTCGCTTCAGTAATTTTGCGAAAAACTCTTCTTAATGTGTGTGCGTGTGTGTGTGTGTGTGTGTGTGTGTGTGTGGGCGTGTGTGTGTGTG